GTATTTCCTCCCCTTTCCTATCCTTCCTCCCTCTCTCTCTCATCATCTTCCTGTACTCCACTGATTTTCCCTATATCTTTATGACTCCTATCTTTTCCCCTTATTTTTCTCTAGCTTCTGCATATGAAAAAACATCCAACACTCGATTTTCTGAGTCTGGCTTATGTCCCTTAGTGGTGTTGTCCAGTTACATCCATTTACTAAAAAATGCCATAATTTCATTCTTTTTTTTATGACTGAGTGAAACTTCATTGTGTATATATACCACATTTTCTTATTTCATTCTATTGTTGACCTGCACTGCTTGTATAACATGGCTATTGTGAATTGCACTGGTTATTGTTAAAAAATCTATGTGACTATATCGGTATAGTATGCTGATTTTAGTTCTTTTGGATAAATACCAAGGAGTGGGATAGCTGAGTCATATGGTGGTTTCATTCTTGGTCTTTTGAGGAATCCTCATACTGCTTTCCAAAGTAGCTGTACTAATTTGCATCCCCACCAACAATGTATGAGGGTACCTTTTCCCCCACATCTTCACCAGAATTTATTATTATTTGGATTCTTGATAATTGACATTCTGAAGGGAGTAAGATGAAATCTTCTTGTACTTTTGATTTGCATTTTCCTGATCACTAGAGTTTTAAAATAACTTTTTTACATGTTGATCATTTGTGTTTCTTCTTTTGAGAAATGTCCATCTAGTTTTTTTTTTGCCAATTTATAAATTATATTATTTGTTTTTAGTGTTAAGTATAATGAGTTCTTTATATATTCTGGATATTAATCCTCTATCAGAGGAGAATCAGGCAAAGATTTTCTCCCATTCTTTAGTCTCTCTATTCATGCTCTTAATCATTTCCTTTGCTATGTAGAAGCTTTTATTTGAGGCCATTCCACATATTAAATTTTTGGTTTTATATTTTGAGTTTAGGGGGTTTTGTTAAGGAAGTTGGTGGCTGCACAAACATGTTGGAGTGTTAACCCTATGTTTTCTTCTAGTAGTTGCAGAATTTTTGTTTTAATTCCAAATTAGGTCTTTGATCCACTTTGATTTCACTTTTGTGCAGTGTGAGAGACTGGGATCTAGTTTCATGCTTCTCCATATGGATACATAGTTTTCTCAGCACATTTGTGACACAGGCTATCTTTTCTCCAACATGTGTATTTGGGTACCTTTGTCACATGTCAGATAGCTGTAAGTATGTGGTTTTATTACTGTTTCTTTAAGTCTATTCCATTTGCCTATATTTTAATTTAATGCTCATATCATAATATTTTTATTAATATAGCTCTATAGTGTCATTTGAGATTAATTACTGTGATTCCTCCATCGACCCTCTTTTCTTGTTCAGGATGGCTTCGACTATTCTGGGTCTCTAATTCTTCCAGATGAATTCCATAACTATTTTTCTAGTTTGTAAAGAATGCCATCGTTATTTTGATGGGGATTGCATTGAGTCTGTGTGTTGTTTTTGGCAATATGGACATTTGGGCAATATTAATTCTGCCCAATCTAAGAACATAGGTGGTCTTTCCATTTTTGAAGATCTTCAATTTTTTCTTCAGTATTCTATAATTTTCATTGTAGAGCTTTTGCCACCGTGGTTAGATTAATTCAATATTTTTGTTTGTTTGTTTGGGTGGTTGTTTTTTTGGGGGGGGTTGTTTGTTTTGTTTTGTTTTTTAGGTTATTCTAAGTGGGATAGTTTTTTTGATTTCTTTCTCAAGAGAAGCACTCTTGGAGTATAGGAAAGCAAATGATTTATGAATGTTGGTATTGTATCCTGATACTTGAGAATTAATTTTTATCAGCTCTGAAATCTTCTGGTAGAGATTTTTGGGTTTCTAGATATAGGATCATGTTGTCAGTAAACAGATAAGTTGATGTTTTTTCCTATTTGAAACCTTTTAATGTTCTTCTCTTGCCTGGTTGCTCTGACAAGTTTTCAATGACTATATTGAATAGGAATGGTGACAGTGGACAACCTTGTCTTGCTTCTGATTTTTAAAGGAAATAATTTCAATTTTTCTCCATTCAGTGTGGTATTGGCTTTGAGTTTGTCATACATAGACTTTACAATGGTAAGTTAAATTTTGTTTTGCTTCTCTTCCTAGTTTCTCTAGCATTTTAAACATGAATGGGTGATATATTTTATCAGAGACCTTTTCTGCAACTATTGAGGTGATCATGTGATTCTTATCCTTTTAAGAAAGGTAGATGTCTACCTAGATTGAAACAATGACTTAAAGATGATTCTATTTGGAAAGAACTGTTTCAGGAACATCTATAAAAGGTAAGATTAAATAATTGTAATCAGAAAAATGTGGTTACAAACACTTGCTATTCATTGTAATCCTTTTTTCTTATTTTTATAAATACATTTTATGTGTGTATATTAATTAGATATATTAATGGAATTCAGTATGATTTTCAATATAGATGCATATAGTTTGCATTGATCAACCACCCTTCTTCCTTCCATCCACCCCATTCAACCCCACCCATTTTCCCTCCCAATCACCAGAAATCAGTATTTCTACTTTTTAGTATTTGACTTTTCTTAGTTTCCTTATATAATAGAGAACATTTGATATATGACTTTCTGTATTTGGTTTATTTCACTTAACTTAAATATGTCCTCCATTTCCAACTAATTTGCTGCAAATTATTTTGTTTTCTTCATAGCTGAATAATACTCCAGAATACATATACCACATTATCTTTGTCCATTCATCTACAGATTTGGTATGCTTACCTCACTTCCTTTAAATGTATGCTTAGGAGAAGAAAAGCTGGGTCATCTAGTAGTTTTAATTATGTTTTTAATTTTTTTTGTGAACCACCATGCTGTTCTCCATACAGGCATTACTAATTTACCATCTGAACTAAAATTTATGAGTTATTTCTCCACATATTCACCAGTACATCTGTAGGGCAGGGCTGTTTGATTTGCTTATTTTGTTAACAATAACCATTCTAACTGGGGCAAAATGGCATCTCATTGAAGTTTTGATACAAAATGATGTCTTTATCTACCTTGACTAAAGCATTTTTCACTGTAACAGAGGAAATTAAAGGATTATTGTCACCCTCAGGTGGCTTTCCATTTCCTCTAAAGATGGAAATGATACTATATTTCAGAATAATTCCAGATCCAAACATAGATATTTATTAAACTAAAACTTGTATTTTTTTCTTTGTGCTTTCTCCTATAGATTTGATAACACAAAAAATAAGCAAAAAAGAATGAGAAACCACACAGAAGTAACAAAGTTTATCCTCCTGGGCCTGTCAGATGATCCCAGGCTCCAGGTGGTAATATTCATCTTTCTCTTCCTCACCTACATGCTCAGCATCACTGGGAACCTGACCATCATCACCCTTACTCTGCTGGATCCCCATCTTCAGACTCCCATGTATTTCTTCCTCAGGAATTTCTCCCTATTAGAAGTTTCATTCACAACCGTCAGTATACCCAAGTTCCTAGGTACCATTATTTCAGGAGATAAAACCATTTCCTTTAATGGCTGCATTGCTCAGTTATTTTTTCTCATTCTCTTGGGAGTCACTGAATTTTACCTTCTGGCTGCCATGTCCTATGATCGATACATTGCTATCTGCAAGCCTCTGCACTACATGACCATCATGAATCGAAAAGTCTGCACAATGCTTGTCTTTGCTTCCTGGATGGCCTCATTTTTAATCATCTTCCCTACTCTCATGTTTCTGCTACAGCTTGATTACTGTAGGTCCAA